TAATGTTTTTTTTGTTTTTTTTTGCATTTGGTGATCTTAAAGTTTTTATTTTGGACCCTGGATGTTATTAATTGACTTAATCAGCAAAGCATGCAATTGGTTAAATTAATTAATTGGATTTTAAGGATGATTCATTCAAGTACCAAGATTATTTATTTATCTGTTTGTTTTCCAAACATCTAATAAACCATTTAATAAAATGCTAATTTTCATTATCGGTCAGTATAAATATTGCTGGACAGTTTTTCTCAATTCATTCATTGACAAAAGTAAATTGTTTTATATATATATATATATATATATATATATATACGGTATACTGAGTCAGAGTGTTATTGAGGGTCACTCTCTGCAGCCAATCTGTACGACTGTTCAACTTTTCTTGCAAGAAAAATCTTCAAAAGGCTTTTGTCTCATGCATTTATTGAAATAGAAAATTTCCACAACAGTAATCTACAGTATTATTTAGGATCACAAACTTATCAAAAATCAATTTAAAGAATAAAAGATGACAAAAGAGCAAATACAGTTATATATATTTGTGAGGAAACAGAATCAGGGAGAGTTTGATCTATATTTTAAGTAAAATTTCAAACATCCTTTAATAAATGACCATTGCTTATGTAATCGAAGTGCATAAATTAAAGATTCATTATATCATTTTTTATTTTTTTTTATTTTTACATTTAATTTTATTTAATTTTTTTATTTTAATTATTATTTTTTTTAAATTAATTAATTAATTTATTTATTTTTTACTCAAACCATTTAATAAACCAGTTAACAAAAATGCAAAGTCCAGTTTTATTGCCGGTCAAAAATCGTCTGAATTCATCCATCCATTAGCAAGTAAATGTTGGGTCCTGACAACACACACACATTCACAGCACTGCTTCTGGTTTCTGTGGGGTAATATGTTCCTAATTAAATGTACGTGTTCAGCAGTCACTTTTATCCAAGGCTTACACTGCGTTCAAAGTAAACGTGTATCAGTTTAATCAAACCCATCATCTTAGTTCTTCTGGTGACTGTACTGTCTGAGACACAGAACCGCTCAAAATTAATTAACTTGGCTTTTAAGAGTGTCATTTTTCAGATCGGGACGCCCGAGCGAGGAGCACAAACACCTGTTTCCACGCGTCTTCTGAGAAACTCACACTTCGTTTCCACCCACAATTCTGCAAACTTGACTTTGCACCGCCGCAGCGATCAGCCATCAGCGCGCGTCACGCTCACACTTTCTGATGAGGCCGTCACACTCTTCATGCTAATTAATCAAAGCGGTAATTTTAAACTCAATCTGCCTTTGAATTTCACAGCTGGTGATTCGAGCTTCAGACTACTGATGTAAAACATGTCAGCTCTGTGTGAGGCGTCTACATCTTCAGCTCATCCTCTTGAGTGAGCGAAATATGCTACGTTAGGGTTCTTGTGCAAAACAGTGAACAAATAATGATCACGATACTCTAATAAAATGCTTCGCACACACAAATATTAGGTGCGATTGTGGAGTTTTAATTACATGCAACTGTTCTTATTTATCCTTTTCAGGATTTAAATTAGTGTTATTTTAGTATTATTTAAATACTATCATAGTGTTTATTAATATTATGAAGTAAAAGTTTTAGTAATTTCTTTGTATGATTTTGTCTTTTTTAATTTCCTATTTAGCGTTAATTTATTTTTTATTTCAGTTTAAGTTTTAGTAATTTTAATATTTCAACTTAAACTTATTTCATTTAGTTGTCAAGGCAAACTTTTTAAGTTTTTAGTTTTAAGTTTTGATTACATGCGATGCAACTATTCTTATTGATCTTTCTTTGTGTTATTTTAGTATTATTTATATACTATTAAAGTATGAATTAATTTCTTGAAATAGCTTATTTAAGTTTATTATGTATTATTATATGTTGTGTTTTAATTTTCTACTTCAGCCTAAAATGATTTATTTCATTTAGTGCTATGGCAACATTTCTCATTTTCATTTAAGTTTCAATTGCATGCAAATATTCATTACATGCAAATACATTTTCAGTGTTGAATCAATGATGTTTTAGTATTATTTATATACTATTATAATGTGTATTTTACTTTTATACTTTCAGTTTTTAGTTTTAGTAATTTTGTTATGATTTTCATTATTAGTATTTCAACTTAGACTTATTTATTTCAGTTTGTTGCTAAAGCAATCTAATATTATACATCTAATATTTTTATATGATTTGATTTCATCTTCATTTCAGTTACCGTAAGCACATTTTCATTGTTTTATTTTCTGCTAACAGTAGCAACACTGATTGACATGACACATAACTGCATTTATAATCATTGTCTATGATCAAAATAGCAAATCGTTGACTCATTATTTGGTTGTAATGCAAAAATTAATCATGTTATTCCCAAAATGCTAACTGGACGTCACTCATTCGTTTCCCAAAGCATCATGATTGTTAGTAAAGATACAGTCAGCAACATGAGTTGACATGAGTGAAATATATTGTGTCGATGGTGAATAATGAATATATTTTTGGAAATCCAAGCCAAATAAAATATTTTATGCACTAGTTCAAAAGTTTGGGGCCAGTAAAGAAGTCTCTTCTGCTCACCAAGGCTGCATTTATTTGATCAAAAATGCAATAAAAATAGCAAAATTGTAAAATATTATTGCAATTTCAAACAGCTGTTTTCTATCTGAATATCTGTTAAAATGTAATTTATTTCTTTGATGCGCAGCTGTATTTTCAGCATCATTACTCCAGTCTTCAGTGTCACATGATCTTCAGAAATCATTCTAATATGCTGATTTGCTG